AGGGACATTAGTGGTGAGAATGTTCTTTTCTTGGTCTTCTGTGGCTGCTGAGGAGGAAGGGGCTATGTGTCTGCAGAGGAAGCTGCCAGCTCCCATGTCCATAGGAGGTGCCACCCTAGATGATGGTAGCGAGTGCCAGGCTGGAAGGAAGATTGGTCAGAGGTCTGAGTGGTGTTGTTATTCCCTGGGCTCCTGGCCTCACCTGCATATTGCTGGCATTCCATTGGTGCTGGTGATAATGGAGATGGTAGACCCCTTCTCCACAAGGGCTGCTCCCCCCCCCACCATGATGCACTGCCATTCTCAGAGCTCTTGAGTTTAGTTGTCCATTAGTAGCATTTGGTTAGCAGTTGGTATTACTGGGAGGGGGTGGAATGACCGGCCCTTTTTCCATGAGGATTGCTTTCCTGCTGGCTGCGTGGAACCAGGTTGGAAGCAGGGCTGATGATTTTGGGTGTGATGCTGCTGCTGTAGGGATTTTTGAGCTCAGGTTACTTGGCTATGACATACTAGGACTTGAGAGAAGTGGTATTGATAGTTTAACTCACCTGGCCTGTCTCTCCCTCAGGATGCCTTGCTATGTTCTCTGGTGTCACCCAAACTTCTTTCAGTTAGAGGTCTCCTTCATACTGTTGCCATTGCCTCAAATTGGAATCCTTGGAACGGCCAGCCTTGTATGTCCCTCTCCATTTATCCATCTATAAGAACTGGGCAGACAAGTGGCAGAAAAAGGCAGGAGTGTGTGTGTGTGTGTGTGTGTGTGTGTGTGTGACCCATTTGCTCAGGAGGGGGACCCTTGGGTTCACAGACTGGATTGAGCCTTTAGTTGATTCACACCTGGCCTGTCTGCCTTCCCAGTCATCTTGAAGATGTGCCATTGATCACAAGGGGGTAGATTTTCTTTTGAAAAGTGTTTCTTCATATGCTTTGACCACTTATCTAGCAGAAAATGTCTTTTTTGGCTTTAAGGTGATTATCTATATACCTTGGACATCAGGTGCTTATTAGAGATGTTTGATATAAAGATTTTTTCCCCTAGTCCAACCACTTTCCTTCTTATACCAGCTGCATTTCATTTTGTTCTACCAATGCTTTTTAATTTCATGTAATGAAAATGACCTATTTTCCCTTTTCTAATTTCCTCCTCCCTAGTTATTGCTCTGGATGGTTTCTGGTCTGGTTCTCTTCTCATGTTTTTATGGTATGACCTTTTATACTTAGCTTCTGTATCCATTTTGAATTTATTATGATCTAAAGCTAATCCTCACAAGACAAAATAAATTTACTTCTCAGCCCCTTAGAATCTGGCTTCCAACCCCCCCTCTCCTCCAAGATTCCCAAGTGTTCAATCCTCTTTGACCTCAGTTCTCATCCTTCTCCATCCTCACCCTAGTTTTTGACACTGGCTACCTTGTCCTTCTCCCACCCTTCCCATTTCCTTCCTCTGTCAAGTTCTTTAATGTTCTCTCCCTCCTTAAATTTTGGGGCATTTCATTCTCTGTGAACATTTTCTACATTCCCAGTAGAATGCAAGTTCTTTGAGGGCAGGAAATGCTGCCTTTTATCTTTATACCCCCATTGCTTCACCGAGCATTTGGGTCATAGGGAGACACTTAATAGACCTTTGAATGAAAGCTCCATGGTATAGTGCCTTAAATGTCATTCTAAGGAATGTGTGTGTGTATGCATGCGTGTATGCTCCTGTGCTCACATACATATCCATAGTATGGATAAAAGAGAGTTCCAAGAATAAGATTCAGCCCCTGAGGTCACGCCTAGCATTGGACTCCATGGCTCTGCCTCTGATGTCTGCTCATGATACTAGGGTAGGAAGGTGAAGCTGATGATGTCAGCACAGCCTCAGCAGCCAGGCTCCTGTGCTTGGAGGGGCATGAAGCTCTTAGGTGCTATGCATGGGCCACATAGTAGGTAGAGGGCTTGCAGGAGGGATGGAGGTTTGGGTCTTGGTGGCAGACTCCTTCTCTGGGTTAGGGGTCACTTAGGCCGGAGATTGAGTGGTAAAGGAAGTGAGACATAGGGCAGATGGAGAATGCTGTCATCACAAAGGGTTAAGAAGCTTGAGAGAGCTGGTGCTCAGTCTTTAGGTGAGGAGTCGGGGTAGACTTTAGTTGAGTGACTGATGTCAGGCGTCTTCTCCACCCCCACCCAGACCTCCTTGTTGGTTTGTTCTTGTTTGGTATTATTTCCCCCCCACCCCCTAAAGTGCCTTCTTCCTGTGGCCATCCCTGCCCACATACCTTTCCTTTTGATAATCTTTCTTTGTCTCACCTTCTTCCTCAGTACACGGACACAGACACCTATGGAGAGAGGCAGATTAGTGGACCATATAGGGGGCTGGGCATGTGGTCAAAACGACCAGGACTCAAGACGCTGGGTGGGCAGAAGAAACCTCAGACCCTTACTAGCTGTGTGACCGTGGGCAAGTCACTCAACCTCTCTTTGTTTCAGTTTCCCCAGCTGTAAAAATGGGGATGATCATAATAGTACCTACCTTAAGATTACATGAGATATCGATAAAGCACTTAGCACAAGCGCCTTAATTCTAGTGCCTTCTCTGTTGATTATTTCCTAGTTCTCCTGTATAAAGCTTGTTTGTGCATTGTTCTTTGCATGTTCTTTCCCTATTAGATTGTGAGCCCCTTGAAGGCAGGGACTACTTTCTGCCTTTCTTTGTTTCCCCCAGTGCTTAGCACAATGCCTGGCACTTAGCAGGTGCTTAATAAATGCTTATTGGCTGACCGACTGACAGATGAAGAGTTTCCAAATAGTCAGGGCACTTGCCCACTATCATTTAGCTGAGTCAGGATCCCCTGCCTGCCAGCCCCGAGGCCTGCTCTCTCCACTCGCCTTGGTTGCTGTGCCTGGCTGCTGTGCCCTGCTGCTGTGCTGGGGTCAGGGTAGCTTAGTAATCTGGTGTGACTGGGGTCTTGAGGACTGAAAGAGAAGGTAGAGAACAATGTGTTATCCTGGCAGGGTTTGAAGGAGGGTCACCTGGCACCAAACTCCCACCTGGCGGAGAAGGACTGTGGCCTGGCAGTGGAAGCAGGGAAGATGAGCTTAGGCTGCAGCCAGTCCCTTGAGGCACAGCTTCTGGAGGGAGGGAGGGAGGCAGACTCCAGTCCCCCTGCTCCCAGCCCCAGCTGACTGGATTCAGAGTGTTGTGTTTAGTGCTGGCTGCCACATTTTAGGAAGGACGTTGATAAGTTGTGGGTCCAGAAGGTGGTGACCAAGAAAGTGATGTCTTGAGAATATGCCATGCTAGGTTTTATTGAAAAAATGGAGATATTTAGCCTTGAGATGAGAAAACTTGGCATGGAGAGCATATGATCATATGATGGAGGATTTGGAAGTAGAAAGGACCTCAGATCCCATCTCGTTCAACTGCCTCATTTTACAGAGGAGGAAACTGAGGCACAGGGAGAAAGTGACCTGCCCTAGGGTACATAAGTAGTCAGTTGCAGAGTAAGGATTTGAACCTATGTCATTGAACTCAACACCCAAGACTTTCCCCATTGCACTGTGCTACTTCCCCAGTGGTCACTGCCTTTAAGTATTTGAGGGGCTGTAATGTGAAAGAGGGATTAAATCAGCCCCAAAGATTGTTTTTTGAATGTTCATTAAATTTATCAATGCACTAATAGTTTATGTATAAAAGAATACGATGATAAGAAACAACTCCGAGATAATGCCTAATATTCAAGGGCCCAGAAAGGTCAGGGACAACATGGCCCATGGGGCTGGGGTCCCCCTCCCCCCATTTCCCCAGTCTTGAGTCCTGAGCTGGTAGAATGGTCAAAGCGGAGCAAGGCTCTAGGAGGCTAGTTCAGGCATTTGGTGCTTATCTTTTTTCTTTGTACCATCTGGTTAATGGCTTTCCCCATCACCTGCCCTGAGGCTCTCCCCCATTTTAGAATAGAGAGAGACAATAGCAATGTCAAATATTACAAAGACAAGGTTTGTGTCTGGCAAAACATTGAGAAGGAGTGGGGTTGGGAGTCAAGAAACTTTGATTTCAGTCCCAGACTGGCCATTTACTTGCTGTATAAGTTGGAGCAAATCACTTCCCTTCTTTGAGACACAGTTTCCTGATTTGTAGAATGAGGGTAACATGTTTTCTTCTTGTCTAAGACTTATCGTGAGAATTACTGAAAGTAGATACTGGGACAAGAATCTGCATTCAGAGATGGTGGGTTCCCCTCCTGCTTTGGCTGCTGCTCCCTAACTGTGATTGAGGGGTCTCGTCCTCTCTTGGTGCTATGGTTTTTGACTATAAAAGAAACGAGGGAGCTGGAGGTGGATGTACTTGGAGGGCCTACAAACCGTCTAATTTTGTGTGGGGCTTGGTTGGTTGCTGTATCAGTTGCCTTTTACTGAACATTTTCAGCAAATCATCACTGATTAAGTACTCTTGGCTAAAACATGCAGGTACTGGGCGCATTTGCACTGGTCAATGTGATTCTTAGACACTAAGCTCCCAGACATCTTTGTTCAGCCATCCATCTTCCCCTAGTCTCAGACTCGGTGACCTGCACACTGGGAGGTGTTTACAGAATGTTTGTTGAGTTGGATTAAGGCAGAGACAGTGAAGTCTCAGTAAAGCCACACTACATAGTTACCACCCCCTCCCCATGTAGACTCTCAGGATTACCCCAGACCTGCCACGGTGGAGGCATTCAGTTATGGGGGCCCAATGGCAGGTTTTAGAGCTTACATCCATTGTCCTGGGGAGAGAACTGAGAATCAAGAAACAGAGGAACCCCTGTGGCTACCACCCTCCAGCAGGTTTTAAAATATGCAACACGTTTGGACTTGACAGTTGGTGATGTTTGTAGACATCCCCCACCTCGACACATGCATACCTTCAAGAGAAAAAAGGTATGTGGGCCACACGCTCTTTGTTCCCTCAGGCTATAGCTTGGAGTGATGTACTTTGTACAATGACAGCACTGAGACAGCCACTAATGTTCACCATCCTTGCAAAGATACCATTTTATTTTACAAAACATAACACGTCGTCTCTCTCCCACTGACTGTTTGGGAAAGAGACAGATGACAGACAGACAAGACAGGACAAAATCGAACAGGGCAGAAGAGATAGCTCCCGAGGAGACTGCCTTTGCAAAGGGGCATCACAAAGAGAAGGGTACCAGGAAGGTGGGCAGTTGCACTGTTAAGTCAGTGGGCCAACACAAAGAAGCACATAAAGCAGGACACCAGCCAGAAGCCCCAGCAAGGAATTGCCCGACCCAAGGCTTTTCACACTATTGCCTTCTTTGCTTTGCTGGTTCAGAAGCTGCTTATTCAAAGGGGCTTCATCCACTTCCAGGTCATATGCCAGTTCTGCAAAGAGAAAGGAAGGAATCCAGTGTTAGCCTTGGCATCAGATCCAGGGTACGGTACTCCTTTCTTTGGTTCTGATTTCGAAAAATGTGCATTATTTTCATAAAGGTCTTTCCGTATTTCCTTATATTCCTCATACTTGAGAAATTACATTAATGTTCCATAATTTAACTATCCCCGATGGCTGGGCATTTATACCCCCCCCCATTACATATAATGCTGCTGTGAAATGGGGAACAGATAACTAACTCCTTTTTTTCTTTTTCATGTAACACTTTCAGAATATATTCCCAAAAATGGAATTGTTGGCTCAGCAGGCAGGACAATTTTTTGATAACTTTTCCTGCACATTGATACAGTCTTCTTCTGAAAGATTCTACAAGTTTCCAATTTCAGTAGTAGTGAATTAGTCTACACATTGCTCCTAATTTCCCCCCCTCGTGTTTACTTATTTTTGTCAATTTGATGGTTATGAGGTGATACCTCTAAATTGTTTTAATTTGTCTCTTCAATTATTTGTGACGTTGAGTATACTTTTCAAGTGATTGTGATTTGTGCTTCCCCATTTGAAAATTATTCTTATCATTTGAACATCTAGGGTTCCTTGGGTGGGGAACCTGCGGCCTCGAGGCCACTGGTGGCCCTCTAGGTCCTTGGGTGTGACCCTCTGCCTGAGTCCAGGTTTTACAGGACAAATCCTTTTATTAAGGGGATTTGTTCTGTGAAGTTTAGATTCAAAGGGCCCCACTTGAGAACCTAGAGGGTCACCTGTGGCCTCAAGGCCACAGGTTCCTCATCCCTGATCTAGGCCCCGTGCACTGTGGGTTATCACTCTGACTTGTTACCAGTTCCTTATATTCTGGATGTCATGTCACTCTCAACTTTTTTCTTTCCCTCCCCTTCACCTCCTCCCATCTCCAATCATTTGCCCAAATTTGTCAGTTCTGCTGCCGCAACATCTTATCTCATCTCTCTCCCTACACAGCCACTACCCTGCTTTAGGCCCTCATTTGCTCCTTACCTGGACTTTTTCAACAGTGTCCTAAATGGTTTCCCTGCCACTAGTTTCTCTCCTGTCCACTATGGCCTCCACACAATTACCAAAAAGATATTCTCAAAGCAGAAGTATGATTGTGTCCCTCCTCTGCTCCAGCAGTGTCAGTGACTCCCTATTTCCTCTAGGATAAATGCAAACTGTTTCAGCCAAACTGGCCTACTTGATGTTCTTTGGGTACAACATTTTCTCTTCTGCGTCAGAGCCTTTACACAGGCATCTGAAATACTTCCCCTCCTTATCTCTGCAAAGTACCTTGGATATAATAGGCACTTAATAAATACAGTACTTATTAAATTAAATGGAAATGAATTTATCTTTTGTATTTGCCATAAGTATTCTCCAATTCAAATAATTTCCTAATGAGTTGTTGAATTAAAAAAAAAATATCCCCTTCACAATTGAGATAAATACTTTTATTCCATGTTCTTTTCTTCTTTTTAGGTTTCTCATCTGGCTGGAATTTCCTGGGCTTTAGTGCATAAGACGTGGTTTCTAATTCCTTTACCACATAATTACAAATCAATTTTAACATATAGATTTGTTAAATAATGAAGCCCTTCCTAGGATTTTATTTTTCCTAGGTTTATTGAATGCAATTTTTTGCTATATATTTGGTATATCTATTCCATTTCACTGATCTATTTCTCTATGACTAGCCCTGTATCAAATAATTGTAACCATTTAGTGATATATTTCAAAGTTTAAGAATATAAGACCATCTTTGTCAACTTTTCAGCATACCTACCCCCGATACTCTTGCCTGCTTAGTTTTTTTCTAATTCCATAGAGATGCATCTTTGTATCATGCTGGTTATATACATTAATTTGGGGAGTATAACTGATTCATATGTAAACATTGAATAACCTTCCAGTTATTTAGTTCTTTCTTGAGTTTAGTCATGATAGGTTTATAGTCTTTTTATAGGTCCTTTGTATTCCTATGCAGGCTATTACACAAATATTTGATAGTTTGGAGGATTTCTTTTTTTTTAATTATATTTTCTTGTCCTTTATTTGGAGTTAATATGTATGAGGATGGTTAATTCTGAATACTATTACTTTACTGCACTCATTTTTATTTCTCTTTAAATTTCATGCAGTTGGATTTTCTATATTATTGTGTTATGGGCAAATGATGATACCTTAACCTAACTTCCAATGTTAAGGCCTTGACCATCTATCTTCTCTTTTTCTTATCTCATTGAAATGTCTTGTCAAATAAAAGCAGCAAGAGTAGGAGTTCTTGCTTTGTGTCTATTTTTAGTGATAATGTTTCTAACATTTCTCCATTTCATATTATATTGGCTCTTGCTCCATGGTAGATTTTTTTTTATTTTGTTGAGGGGAAAATTCCTGTATAGCTGTTATTTTTAATCACAAATTATACCATATCAAAAGTTTTTGTCATTTTACAAATTTTAATTTCTCTGATGTTGATCAAGCCTTGCACGCTTGCTTGATATAAATCCTACTTGGCCATGATTAGTTTACTTAATGAACTGCTGCATACTACTGCCTTAATGACACTCTTACTTGAACCCCCTCCTTAATAATAATAATGATAATAGTTAACATCTATATAGTGCTTACTATGTGCCACGCACTGTGCTAAGTGCTTTACAATTATGTTCTCATTTGATCCTCACAACAACCCTGGGAGGGAAGGTGCTATTATTATTTCCATTTTACAAATGAGGAAGCAGAGGTTAAGTGACTTGCCCAGGGTCACACAGGTAGTAAGTGTCGGAGGCTGAATTAGAACTCAGGTCTTTCTCACTCCAGGCCTGGCACTCTATCTAGTCCACCACCTATCTGCCCAAGAAAGAAAATCATTTAAACAAAACAAGCCAACACGACAACCTTGTCTCATGGCATGTAACACATTCTGTATCCCTGAGACCTCTACAGAGAGGAAGGAGGTAGAGCCCAGTCAAGATGACAGAATAGCAGGAAGAAGTACAACAAAACTCTTCCCTACAACTATTTTACAAAGAACTATAAAATGAATCAGACTAAGTCATAATCAGGAAATCCAAGAAAAAAAATCACATTGAGTCATATTTCCAGCTCAGGTTGGCAAAGGGAGACAGAGAGGTCTATTGATACTGGGGACTGAGTATGGCCACGTGCATGCCCTGGGGCCTTCAGCACAGGTATTAGATGAGCACCAGGGAAAGAAGAGGTCTCAGGTCTGGCACATCATCTTGTGCAGGGAGCAAGAACGGTTGCCAACAGGCACTTCTGTCCCTACTCAGTGTTGTGTCAGAGATCAACAGTATTCAGAGAAGGTGACCCACATCTACAAGTGGTGGTAGAGAGTAGAATGAAGTCACAGGCTCTAGGCTTTGTACCGAGTATGGAGCAAGTATAGAAGGAAGCAGCAGCTGTGTGTCTCTGACCTCAACACTGGCCCTAACACAACGTACAAAGTCAGGAAATAAGCAAGAAGAATAAGCAAGCAAGCAAACAAACAAAAAAGCCCCACAATAAGGAGCTATTATAGTGACAGAGACACCCAAGAAACAGACCAAGAAGAGAATGGCACCAAAACATCTACCAGCAAAGCCTCAAAGAAAAAAAAACAGCTTTGGCACAAGTTTAACTAGAATTCCTGGAAGTGATGAATGAAGCAAGAGGTTTCTTTCAGAAGAGCTAAAATGATTTTATAAATGAAATGAGAAGACTAGAGGAAAAAATTAGAAAATAAATGTGATCTGTGGAGAAAGGAATTCTAAAGAGAATTAACATCTTGGCATAAGAGGTGCAAAACCTTGCCCAAGCAAAACACTCTCTGAAAATTAGAATGGACTAAATAGAAATAAATGACTTCATGAGATAAGAAGATTTAACAAAATGAAGTCAAAAGGCTGAAAAAAAAAAAGAAAAATTGAAAAAAAAAATCTCATAGCAAATACAACCTGGAAAATAGATCAAGAGAATTTAAAAATAATTGGACTATCATAAAGCCATGACCAAAATCAAGAGACTTATCATCTTTCAAGAAGTCTTAAAATAAAATTGCCTGGATCTCTTAGAACCAGAGGGCAAAATGAAAATAGAAAGAATCTGCTGGTCGATTCCTGAAAGAAATGCCAAATAAAAACTGCCAAGAAAAATATAGCCAAAATCCAGAGCTTCCAGGTCAAAGACAAATATTGCTAGCAGACCAAAGGAGTTCAAGTACTGAGGAGCCACAATCAGTATCACATAGATTTAGCAGCCACTAGTATAAAGGAAAAGAGAGGAGAGAGGCATGTTTCATGATCCATTCTTTGAGAAGAATATTAGTCATTATACTTTCTGGTAGCTTGCCATTTTCTGTTATCACTTATGTCACTAGAGCGATGGTGTGCATGTTCTTTTGGTTCTGCATTCTCTCCTCCATCACTTCAGACAAGCCTTACAGAGTTTCTCTAAATTCCTTATATTCTTCATTTCTTTTAGCAAAATAACATTCCTAATGAATGAACACCCATTTTGTTCTCAGTCTTTTTTCCTTCCATAGTTAGTACTCTGAATATTTTTGTCTGTATTGGACCTGTCTTTGCCCTCCTTGGAATATATGCCCAGAAGTAGGACCACTGCATCAAAGGCTATGAACAGTATAGTGAATTTCTCCCCACATAATGGCAAATTGTTTTTAAAAATGGTCAGACCAGTTTCTTTCAACAACCTCTCCAACACTGACTGCTTGCATTTTGGATCAGGCTTGTTGATTCGTGAGCTGTTTAAAATATTGTTATTCATATATTTGTTTTTATATCACTTGTTTCCAAAAATGTCTTCACCCACTTAGAGATCTATTCCTTTAAAAAAAAGAAAGAGGAAAACAAATCAGCTTAACAAAACTAAACAACAGAACAACTGAATCTGACTGTGTTCCACACCCATATTCTTCCTGCAAAGAAGGGAGGGAGGTATATTCTCATATTTTTTTGGGGGA